TGGCCACAGGACATCAAGAGAGTATACAGACTTTATCTTTTGATCCTTCATCTTGCCCCCTTTACGCAATAGAAATCAAGAAATACTAAATATTCAGTAATTACTGTCTCTGCCACCAGGGACTCCTCTCTCACCTTCTGCTCCTGCTGGATCCCCATCCACGTCTACTGCCCTGGCCTGGGGTGACAACTTGTGTTTCTAGTGTTATGAGTCGGAACTTGGACTAGATTGTCACATGGAAATAGTTAAAACCCACAGTTAGGCTTTTGAATTTCATGTCACCGTAGGTCAGGCGGGCTTGTGCAGGCATCCTGGGAAATACATTCCCATTTCCAAATAAAGGCCCTTCAGATGCTCTTTGGGTGACATAAGGCTGTGTAGATTGCAGCCTTTGTCTTTCTCAGTGACCTCAGATGTCACCTCCTACCAGAGCTTTCTAAGGAAGCTCTGCATGTCCTGTGCTATTTATGAGTAACCATGTGAATTTGGCTGGGTTCTAAATTAGTATCTGTATATTCTTAGAAGGACCTTGTACATTGAATGTAGTTATTTATTATCTTTGTGAAAAGGACGTGGCTTCAGGCCAATTAAATGGTGGATACAAGACTCTCAGCTTGTGACCAATGATAAAGTACAATTTATAACTAAGTTCCAAGCTAGGTTGATTAAACCTAGCTCAGGCAAATGTGTCCATCAGTAGTGAGAGAAAGTACATGGAGGGCTTCTTCTATTTTTATTCAGTTCAACAAAAATTCCTATCACTTCACCTAGACAAAGTACAACTTGTTTTATTCTCTATCACAGAATTAGGAGCCAGGAGGTGTTGGGGTACCTACCCTGGTCATCTTTTCAGATTGACCTTGGGCAGACCTTGGTGATGCCTGATTCTGCTCAAGGGTTTTAAAATGATACTAGTGATTCGTATCTTTTTTTTTTTCAACTTGCCTAGAGTCTTCTGTTCCTTCATTTGGGGGAGAAAATATCTTTAAGTCTCAGAAACAAATTAAATTGACCCCAGGAGCACCAACTTGCTCCATGGTGGTAGGTTTTATTCTTCAGAGAACTGTGAGTTTTCTAGGCCACCTCGGTCTCATGTAGTGCCCTTCAAGGCCATCGTAACATTGTCCAGTGATAAAATAACCAGTTCTAGTTAAAGATATTCTACTGCTTTGGTTCTATTGCCTGAATTTTTTTTAAAAGAAATACTACTGGTACCTTATTGGCCAATAACAGTGAAGCCCTCGTGTATAAAATGAGAACCTAGAAATCTAACCAGAGAGTTTCCTATAAGTTTCTAACTTTTTATTATGAGTAACTGGAGCTTTCAAGGATATTGGGCTCAATTTTATTTTTTAAGTTTATGGTAGAATTAAAATCTTTTTCCGTTCCTATAGACAGTCATTTGACAAATTTACCTCCACTATGCAGGCACTGTACAGGACACTGGAATACAGTCTGTCCTTAAGAAGACCAGATTGGTTAGGGAAACAGGCATTAGGCAAATAATCACCCAAATAACCATTCATTATCATTGTCAGAGCGATACGGCGGAGAAGAATACATGCTAAGGGAGAGTACCACAGAGACGGGAGCCTAGCCTGGCTCGCAGCCCAGCCGAAGGAAGGCAGAGGGGCATGTGGAGACGCTAGGCAGGGAAGCCAAGGCATGGTCTTGCAGGGCTTTGTAGGCCATGTTAAGGAGTTTTGAATTTTACTCTAAGAGTAGTGGGAAAACACTGACGTGTGTCAAACAAGGGAATACAATCAGATCTGCATTTTTAAAGTTCATCTTTGGCTGCTGCAGGTAAAGTGATTGGAAGGAGCATGGGTGGGTAGGAGAGATAAATTTGTCCAGGCTGGAGAAGATAATGCTTTAGGTAGATGGCAGAATGGGGATT